GCTGAGGCAGGCCTGGGCTCCCTAATCTCCAGAACTCCTCTGCCAGTCCTGTCTCTGACACCCCTCCAGACCACCCAAATGTGGGACAGCAGCCTGCATGCCCAGAGTTCAGACTGCCTTATCTCTTTAATGTAATGGAACCTCTCTTCTGGTATGAACTTCAGGTTGCGTGTATCTGCAGTATCTAAGACTTCATAGACGCAGAGCCCAGATGACATTAGGTCCTGTATCCTGGCAACTTCACTGCTGTTTCTGCCATCAGAGCAAAGGACGCTCCACTTTACAATGGAAACCAGACAAAACAATGCACACAACAGTACTGCTATCATCAATCCAATAAACCAAAAAGACATCCTTTCCAAGAGCCTACATGGAACTATAGAGGAATCCACTCTGTCCGCAATTACAGAACGCAGCACATTAGAATCCCTCACAGTTGGTGGTATCAAATCCAATGGAGAATTAAATTTTTAAATTGGAAAATATTTAACAAGATGAGAGTTATCTTTCAGAGAATATAATCATCACATAATAATCAGTATGTTCCATGACATCCTGTTGTTCCGTCGTTTGACATTAGCTGTCTAGGACCTGGTCATCATGACAGCAGTAACATCAGCAATTTCAGTCAGAGTTCAATTAACTATCTGATTCTTTGACCCAAAAATGACAATTACCCTAGTGATCAAATAGTGTTTAACTACACTGACTAAAAATATTAGCGTAAGTGTAGCTACCTTAGAAAATTCAAACCTGAACTCTATAGGTACAAGAGAACGAACATATTTCTTGGGTAAACTCCATGACATAAGGAGTAATTTTTGTTCTTCATATATTTTATATTTTTCCCCACTCAAAATGATCTTCTCTCCCTGAAGACGGAAAATCACACATACAGCCTTCTAGCAAAAGTCAGCTGAAATTCAGTAGTTCATAAATCTGTAATCGCCGACTTAAGAAACAGATTTCAAATTGTCTCTTGGTTTCAGTGTTTGTTTAACTCTTACCTATAACAGTCAGAATCCATATTCTGGTCAATCATTTCCAATCTCTTGACATTCATACCACTTATGTTACAGTCAGCCAGTCAACAAGTATTTATTGCTCTGCCAAATTGGCAAAATATGTGTAGCAGTCATAATAAATTCCTTCTCATGTATGTACTCTAGAAAGAGATCATTAAAAAGAATCATAGCACGAATAAAGGCAGAAACACAAACTATTTCTTGAAAGCTCTAGTCAATATTGTTTCCCACCATGCACAATACAGATATTTCAAAATGATGTCTTCAAGATTACTAACTTAGTAGAAGCAGTATATCTAGGAAATATTCAGGTAATTTTATAGTTGTTGTTTGACCCTCAAAGACTTTTGCAGTTAATTTTTCTAAACGGTACTGCAAGCTAAATGCTTATTCTAGTTTCCTAAAGTTTTCTCTATGTATTATAATTAAATCAATTTATATAATTTAATTATGTTTATAATTGCAAAAACCAGATATTGTAAAAATTTTAAAGTCATTAATGCTAGATTTTAAGAAAATACAATGTTTGTGCTACAAGTCTAAATCTTAATTTCTAGGGGAAAAATAGCACATTTCCCCTTTTTTTGGAAAACATATACTTTTTAAAAGCCACAAAGGGGTTTCAGGGCAGTGAAGGAATTTATTTATTACTGCTGTTCTGCATGACACCATAATGATGGACAATGTGTCATTATACATTTGTCAAAACCCACAGGATGCACAACACAAAAATAAGTTTAATATAAACAGACTTTACCTAATAGCAATGCACTGGTATTGTCTCATTAGTTGTATCAAATGTACTCCACCAATCCCCAGTGTTAATACGAGGGGTGATGTACGTGAGGAGTTACATGTGAGCTATGCTCCTCACTCATTTCTCTGTAAGTCTAAAAGCACTCAAAAAAGTTTAAAAGTCTAACATAGAATTGAAACAAAACTCATTCACCTTTTCACTGGTAAAAACTCAACCTGTAATAGATACAAATTCCCTATGATAAATGTGATCGATATGCATATCTAAATTGCACCAATAAACTTAGTTTTAAAAAAAAAAAACTCGGCCTGCAAAAATAGTAAAATATGAATCTATAAATATAAGTTGTTTTAGAAATTATGCCATTATTGATAAGATTTTGATGCCCATGTCCTGTTAAACATGGAAATCAACCTCTGCACCTTAATCATTTCCTAATTTTAGTGTATAAATCTCTGGTTTTGTCTTGATTTGAAGCTAGACAATGACAGTGAGCACAGAAAAACATCCTAAACAGATGTCCACTCACAATACAAGTCCAGTCACTCACACTGATCCATCTTAGATAAATCAAAGTAGTGAATTGCCTGGAAGCGGTCACCATTATATTGTACCTTCTACAGAGCTATCTATGGGAATCTTAACAACTTGGTTGCAGAGGTTCCTTACAAGTAAGACACTTTTAAAATACAAGGTATGTAGAAAAAATGATGCCACAGTCACTAATATTATGCAAATCCTCCTAGACAGGTGCAAGAAGAAGTGCTAGTGGCAGGTGTTATGTTGCTATTTTTCAAGCCTGAGATTTTTTTCCCTGGGTTTACATTTAAACCTACCTGATGACCTTAACTGAATTCCCAGAAACTTAATGTTCAGAGCCATAAAAGTTATACCCCGTTAGGCCAGAAATTGCCATGAAGCCCCAAGTTCTCCCCAAAAGAAACAGAAGGTACAAAATGCCAGTCCATTAAGCAGTGCTACAATGCCTCTATGACGCATCCAACACAAAAATAATTCTCACACTTGAAAACGTTTAGAAGCATTGATAGAAGGGTGTCAAAAAAGTATCAATAACTCAGAAAGAAAAGAGAAATCAGAAAAGGTTTCAGGAACCTGAAAGTCTTTCCACTAGAAAATATATTCAAATACAAATTAAATTGTAGTATCTATGCTAGTAATTAAGGAAACCAAAAACTCAAGAAAGGAAATTAGAGAACATGCAATTTCAAATATCTATAGCAAGAGGCTTAATTTTTCCTTTTTTTCCAAAGTGTAACATTAGTCAATCACCTCTAGTTCTCATAGTCAAAAGCTAAAACTAAACAGAATTTTTAGGAGGCCTCAGAACAAATAAACACGAAGCATAAGTCAATACTGCAGTTGTCTGGATTATTTTTCTCTCACTTAATGCACTTGCTTGTTGTTTTAAGAGTTAGGAACCTCAGTTTAAAACTTTGTTAGCATTTTCAGCCACTGCCCTTCTCACTCGCTTCCTAATTCCCCTCCCAATCCCCAAGTTAATTTCAGTTCACTCAGGCTCATTTTTTATTTGGAAAAACTACTTTATTTCGAAACCTGACTAGGAAAAATAGAAGGATTCCCCTCGTAAATTCCTTTTGCCACAAGATAAAAGTTAAACTTCTCAAAAACAAAGACTGGGGGGCTGGCGATTTAGCTCAGTGGCATAAGCACCTGCCTTGCAAGCAGGTGGTGGTGAGTTCCATCCCCAGTACCGATAAAAATGAAAAAGACAAAAAAAAGACTGATGTGGTCCCAAATGTCATCACAGCTCTCTTGTCTGTGACTCAAACAAGTCTACTGTAAGCACAGGTCAGATATTTGCAGTGACTCCACCCAAGATATGATAAACTAACAATAATCAGGCCCCTAAAAATTACCTAGACATTGATAGATTTAGTCTCCTCTTGAGTGGACCCTAATAGGAAATGTTAAATAACTGAACAATTGAAACCTAAATTCAAACTGTGAGGCAATGAAATGAATAGAAAAAAAAATTTGAAAACTGTAAGTCTGTTTGGAAAATAAAATCAGTTCTAATCTACAATCTAAGTCCTTGAAAATTTTATGTGTAGCAATACCATTTGGATTATTTATCAAAACTGCACTGCCCACAGCCCTCGGACAGTGAACTTGTTAGGGGCCTAGGACAAGTGCTTTACCTTCATGCTATCACGAAAGGCAACACCACGACCTTTGTCTACCTGTGTGTCATGTCTACCTGTGCCTCACTCCTTCCTTTGTATGTATAATACAGAGCATTGTCTCTGAGTATCAGCCCACTACCCCCAAAGTTGCAGAGAAAAGGTATGAAAACAATCTTTGCTGTCACTTGCTCTCTACAGAAGGACATTTTTCTCTTCCACAGTAAGCTGTCACTCTTTCCATCATGAAGTAAAGCTGGGGAAGAATCAAGGTCCTATTACCTCTCGTCAGTATGATTTTTGTCTCCTATTTGGAAAACAGTACAAATTACTTGTCATTGCTGCTGATTTTTTAAACTTAGATTTCATCTCCAAATTCAAATACCAAGATACCACACAGAGCTTCTGGCTAAATTTTTTAAACCAAATGAAAGAAAAAATGAAAAGTCTCTAGCCCTTATGCCAATCATATTTGTCTTGCAGAATCAGCACTGTTCTTGGGTTAGTGTATGAGAGATTTCTTCACTTTAGCTTTCCATTGACCTCATGTGAACTACCCAACTATATCAATTCATCACCACACTGTGCAAGTTGAGAGCAAACATTACATGTTTAGAAGAATCCAACAGCCACTATGCTTCCTCTACCAATTGAAAATCTGTATCACTTTCTACCAAAACTTACTGGATTGTGATCCAACATATAGTGTAGTTGATCTCTCTTAGAGTTTAGAAAATAATGATATTCAGTATAATAAAAATGTTGTATTTAAAATGCTACATGCCACTCTGGGTACAAGGAGCTAACACTATGCTTGGAATTGCTTAGAAACATATTTCTCTCAATTCATGGCCTGGGGAAAAAATAACCAAGTACATCATACATAACTTCATTCTAAGCCAGAGGTAAGTGTTGAAATCAGTTCTGAGTAAGAAGAAACGCCAACATTTAAAAGACTGAAGTTTCAGACCCACAACTTTGAAAAAACACAGCAGTTTTACATTGAACATGGATAAATCTAGGAAAGCAGAAACTGTCAAAACTGTAGGTTCTTACCAGAAATGGACTCCAGCAAATGCAGGAGACACACATTATAGCCAGGAGCTGGATGACCATTTCGAAATGATGAGACCTGCCTTGTCTGTGATGCTGATTTTTAAATTTAACTCTTAAAAGTGTAATTCCTGTGATGGCATTGCAAAAGAACGAAATGCCAAGGGCTAAGAGGCCCAGGAAAGAAAACAGTAGAAGATAAAATCTATCTTCCCAGTCTTCAATGTCTTCAGTGTTGTAGAAGCACCAGGTCCTTGTGGCTTGAATTTTATATTCCCTGTTCCCAAAAATGGGCAACAAAGCTATAAAAATAGCAAACAGGCACACGCCACTTAGCATCAACTTCACATGCTTGGATGTAATTTTTGTGGAATGAAATATGGGTTTGGTGACACCAATACACCGCTCAATAGCCATCACACTGCCGAGAAAAAGTGGGCACAAACCAGAGAACACCATGCTGATACCAAAAATACTGCAAAGGACATTTGACTGATCAAAGCGGATCCAGTCTTTATCAGATGCGTACACAAACACCGCTATGGCTCCATTGATGAGATGGCCAAAGAAGTCTGTGATGACCAGACCACTAGCCAAAAGCAGAAAGGACGCCTTGGACTTCTGTCTGAACCTCTGGTACGCCTTCATGAGAATGGCAATGGCCAGGCTGTTTGATAAGATCCCGACCGTCATGAAGATGACTGAAAAAAATACCGAAAGCCGGTTTTCCGTCTGGCAGGTTGTGTTTGAAAGAAACACAGCTGCAGGAGACACTGGCTGCTTGGAATTGTTCATGGACATTGTTGTGGAGATAACAGCTGGTCCCTCAAGTCATCGTCCTTTCACAACTGTGCAGGCTCCCAGTGCAGGCATCTGTGGCATAAAAAGAAAGGAATCATAAACACCAAATTTCTGCCCATCTGCTATTTAAGACTGAAGGATCCAGGGTTCTGAGGTGGAATCCCATTTGTCCAGCCTATCATAAGCAAGGTTGCATCATCCTGAGAGCATCACCCATCTGCCTAGGGATCATTTTCCTTTCAAGCTAAAAAGGCGCCAGAATTGAGACCTCTTGGTTACCTTCCTTCTCCACAGCCACGAAGTGTCTGACACTTCACTGACACCTTAAAACTTTTAAGGCTTATAAAATCACTAAGAAGATTAGATTTAAAACACTAAGGTTGTAGAAAGTATAACAATCTACTTAACCAAATGCACTTTTTAATTTCTTTTTTCTGTTCTCTGCTGGACTTTGTCCCCAGACTGCAGGTTATTCCCTCAACGGACCACCTGATCCTCACGCAAATGAGGGGGACCGGCAAACTCCTTGGTGTTCAACGGAGCGGTTCTCAATTTGTTCCTAAAACCTAAATCACACAGCAGCAAACCGCACACCACCAACCGACGGAAGGCAGAGTGAGGAGAGCGTGCGAAGGGGTCCCGGTTAGCCACCACCTGTGCAGGAAGTCCGGTCGGTGATGGGGAAGGAGGCGGTCCGCGCTCACTCCCGGGATATCTGCAGAGATGCGGGTAAGTTACACGCTTGGAGTAGCGGCATCCACTGCGGAGTATTTGAGGCTCTGGTGACAGGCACCAGATACACACGACCACTGCCACTCACCTGGAGCTCTGTGGATCGGCGGTTCCCACGTAGCTGCCCGGAGGCTGGGGATTCCGGAGCCAGCCCTGCCTGCCACCCGCCCGGCAGGAGTGGAGCCACCCCAGGTCTTACTCACTGACTTTCCCTCGTCCCTGACCCTGGGCCCCAGGCGTCTGCTTGCAACATCCTCCCCAAACCTACTCAGTCGCTCAAACTTTCTGCAATTGCTCAAACACCAAAAAGGCTTGTTTCCCTCCCAGCCTGGGGCGCTCCAAAGGCCTGCAGGGGCCCGGGTAAGGGATGCCCGCAGGGAGACACCGGAGAGAGGCAGATCGCTCCCTTCGCGGGCTTCCCGCCTCTGAAACCCCTTCTCTACCGCGACCCCACCGGCCTAGCTCGCGGTCGGAACGGCTGCGCCCGAGTCCCTTCCCCCGGTGCAGAGCTCGGCAGCCTGGAGACTGCGGTCCAAACTCGCCTCCCAGCGCAGCCCGCAGCAGCAGCCGCCGGGCGTTTTACCGGGTGGGCTACTCCAGCGGGGCCGAGCCCAGCATCCCGCAGCTGAGGAAGGCGGTACCTCGGTGTCCGCGGAGTCTCCAGCGCGCTCCGTGCGCCATGGCGCGCAGCCCCGCCCCGGCCCCGGGCGCCCCCGCTCCCGCCGCGCGTCTCCTCCCCGCTGGGTCGGCTCCGCGGATCCCGCCGGCCGCCTCTGCTGCTGCACTCGGCCGCACCGAGCCGCCTGTGCAGCCTGGGCGGGATGCAGGCTCGGGTGACCTCCGCCCTCTCTCCTCCCCGCCCTCTTTTCCACCGGCCTAGAGCGGCACCGGGAGGGACAGGGCTCCGCGCTGGGAAGCCGAGGCGCCTGTCCCGTGCGCAGCAGAGCTGCCTCCCCCGCGCCCCCGGCAGCAGGACTAGGTGCGGATGGCTTTGCTGTAGGTAAACTCATGGTCAAGCCAAGGGACCACCATTTCTGAGGCTTCGGGATGGGAATCAAGAGAACAGTCTAGCTCTCTTGAGAACAGTCAGAGGCAGCTGGCGACTAAAGTTTCAAGCCCAGCCCGACAGGCAGAAAGCAAGCAGGTAGGCAGCGGCCGGGCGTTTGGAGAACTTCCCGACCGGTATCCCGGGAGGTGAACAGCGGGTGTTCCAGCCACCTGCTGTGAGTGGAAACACAGCCTTAGGGTTCACCCTCCATGGAGGACTGGAACTTTTCCAGCTGTCCACGGAATGAGAAGGGGAAAGGGGCGAGATAAGAAGGGTAGTTGAAAAATATAGCGCATGTTTAAATTGAAAAGAGTATTAACAGTAAAAAAGACACCTTGCCTTTACGACCCCTCCCCCCCAAAAAAAACACTCCCTCTCCTCTCGAATATGCTTATCCCATCACTCTTGCGACTTTCTGCAGAAGTCCTGAAGGTCATTTTTCCTCAAGGCCCGGAATCAGTTCTAAACATTTACTTCTTATGGTCATTTTGACCATAAGAACTAGAAGTCACAGGGTGTGAGATCCAGTGGAAAAGATGCTGCACTAGGGGCCGCACTAGGCAGCCGCATGTGTTGTATTTTGGATCACATCTCCTAAAGACAGTCAGGAAAGAGGATTTCCAGAACTGCTTCAGAAAGCGACAAGAAACGATGAGATGAGTGTGCTAGAGGCCTGCGGATGGGGCGGTGTTGGGACAGGGACCAATGTTGGGACAGGGCAATGTCTTTACTGTGATAATTCCTTAAACATTACCGTATTTTCAGATCACCCTTGTGCATTCTAGAAAAGCCCTTGCGAATCAAAGATTAGTGACCTTTTCATGGTTATAAAAGTTCACTGCCTGTTGAGAGAATTTCTGGTGGTATGTGTACCCGAAGAGTTGTGCATTTTACAAACTTTGTGCAGATCGGTGTACAACAAGAGCCATTCACTTTATTGACGACTATGATTTTGGCCGTTTTGTACTATAATTGCTTTTTTGCTAATGTTACATCGATCCATTCCTATTAACTGTGTCTCATTTTTCCTGCTAAACATTATATGAATCTATTACTGACTTTACTCTTTAAATTAGTATAGTGTTCTACTGCCAATGGGAAAAACCAGTGCCACGTGGAAATAAATTCTGCTTCTCTATTCTTGAATCAGAAGGGACCTCAAATTCCTGAAAGGAATCGTTAGATGCAAAAGTTAGATAAAATAAATTAAATATTAACCGCAGAAAAGCATGATTGCACTGTTTTCTTTTGTGGTAGATACTGAGATTTTTGAAGTTGACTTGAATATAACTTATTAAAAAAAATAGTTCCTGGGATATGATCAGAGAATTGAATGTTTTGCTTCAGTTGGCAGGAAATATTATACCTCGGTGATCGGTAGCCAGAGAACAACTGTGTAATGTCACACTTAAAATACGAATGACACAGGACACTGCTCTTTCTTTTAATGATTAATAGTAATTAGTCACCCTACGCTGAAATTATTAGTTTCATTGTATTCATTTCCACTGAAATGAATTCCTATGGAATTCTTGTTCATCTCTCTATCCTTACCCAGGACAATGCCTGGCCACTCACCAAATGTTTAAATTAATAAGTAGTACATTGAGCATTTCCAGTATTGTAGTTCTTCACTTCAGTAACTCTCAGGCTCTCTCTGGAGCACCTCACTAACTTCTGCTTCTGTAACTACTGAGTAGGGGGGGGGGAGAAATTCTCATTAATTCAATGTCAAATTATAACATTCATTATGTAACGTAATCAAAAACATGTTAATTTCTTTTTGAAAGTATTATATAACCACATTATTTTAAAATCTACTTTATATACATAACTAGAATGCCTCATTTAGATTACATTCTCTAATTAAGACTATTCCACTTGAGTATTAATAAAAGATTCTAAAACACCTGCTTGTCAGCTCTTCCAGATAGAATATTTTACAAAGTGCTGATCTGTAAGGAAGAATAAACAATTACCTGCCTTTTAGGAAATTACATATGTACACATCGTTTCTGACCTTATGCAGCCCAAATTAGAGCCATTTTTCAGGGCCTCAAAGATAACCTTTGAGACTTGGCGATTTAGCAGATGAAGGGAACTGACAGATTTTTTTTTTTAAAGTAGGGGGGAGGTTGATAAACCCTCTGAATAGTAGTGCAATTTCTTGTTACTTTTTAGAAGTGGATAATAATAAACCTACTCACTTTTGCATCCACTCAAGAAATGCACTGAGATCTCAGCTTTTACCAGTAGAGTTTGTTGGAAGCAGAGATAACAGCACGCAGCACACACTTGGGGTGTGGCTTCCAAGATACTAAGAGAAGGCACTTGCTTTTGTGACACACATCCCCAAAACTTTGATGTGATTTTAGATGCCAGAAGGCAAAGCTGATACCAGGCTGTCTGCCAGGAGATAATGAATGACAGGTGTGTGTTTGGCAATCACCTTTCAGGATTACATGCAGGACCCTTTGCACTGAAGATGCACACAATATGATTAAAGTCAGAGAAATAGGGACTCAGTGACACTGAGGCTGAAATACAGCAGCATACAAATCAAGGGGTGTGCTAGAAATTCATATGCACAAAGATCGATAGTGGAAACATGTCTCAGCTTGGTTGTAATGAAAATAATTTTTATCTTTCTGTTTTTATTATGTAATCATCTGACATATTAAAAGTGATATAGGGGCTGGGGATTTAGCTCAGCGGCATAAGCGCCTGCCTTGCAAGCAGGCAGTCGTGAGTTCAATCCCCGGTACCGATAAAAAGGAAAAAGACAAAAAAAAAAAAAAAAGTGATATTTGTAACACATTTAATTTACAAAAGTAAAAGAAATAAACCCAAGGACATCCTACCCAGTTAAAGACTGTATTTATTTGCCTCAGCTACTGTGACAAAGGACCACAAACTGGGTGGCTTCACCAACAGAGAGGATTGCTTTAAGAGTTCAGAGGCCAGAAGTCCAAAATCAAGGTGTAACCTACGTTGGTTCTTTCTGAGAGCTGTCAGAGAGAATGAGTTCCAGGCCATCTGCCTATTTCCCGTGACCCGCTGGCAATCTCGGGTGCCCCCTAACTTGTTGGTACATCCCTCCAGCTTACTCCTTCCTTTTCCCTTCTGTTCTATGTTGCCATCTTCTCATGCCATCCTTTTATAAAGGCATCTGACATATTGGGTTAGGGTCCACCCTACTCCAGAGTGTTAACCAGGAGAAGATGTTAATTAATTACATCTGCAATCATACTATTGCCAAATAAAGAAGCATTCTGGGATTCTCGGGATTATAACTTCCACATATCTTACTTGGAGAAGACAGTTCAACCCATAACAAGAATTATGCTACAATATTATGAACAGTTTGTCTATTCCTATGTCTCTGCCTCTATTCCATGTCTCTGCATCCTTCGCCTAGACAACCACTACCCTGAATTTCAATGTCATCATTCTATTGGAATTTTATGTGTTTTTACATAAATAAACAGATGAACAATATGTTATTTAATTTGCCTTGTTTTGACACTTTTTTCACAAAAGATTTTAAAAGGTCATGTATGTTGATATATACCATAGTAATTTATTCATTGATAAAGTGCTATATTGTGGTATGTTTAAACTTAACCATGTCAAGTTGACTGGCTTGGGAGCTACCTTCGGAATTAGTAAAGCACACTTCTGGGTGTGTCTGGGTGGGACAGGAAGGTGTGACCCTGTGACTCTGTGCTCCCACACTCCTTCCTCTCTGGCACTGTTCCTCTGCTCTGCTTCCTGACCACTGTGAACTGAGCAGCTTTGCCCTGTCACACCTGATGTCTCTGGATCCAGCCAGACATAGACCTATTCCCCTGAAATGCAGGGTCAAATTACACCTCTCCTCCTTTAAATTGTGGGTGTCAGATACTGAGTCCCAGCAACAGGAAAGCTAACAAACACAATTTGGATAGTTAAATTTTGAAATACCATTCACTCATAGCCATCTGGGTTACACCCCCAATTTTTTGAGGTATTCTATTGCAAAGAGTCATTTCCTCTTCAGCTGGGGTAAGAGTTTCTCTAGATTATGTAAAAAGAGTAAAATAATTAAGTCACAGGACTTGAGAATGCCTAACTTTCCAACATAATGCTAAACTGCTGTAACAAGTCACACACACAAACCAGAACTCTGTATTTGTCCTCCTTCATTAACTTTAATGACAGTGCTCGAAAT